AAAATAAAGTTTTTTAAAAATAGCATTTGCTATAGTATCAAAAAATGTGAACTACTTAGGTATAAATTTGACCAAAGGGTTATAAAAAAAACCTGTACACAATAAACTACAAAGTAATGTCTAGAGAAATTAAAGACCTAAATAAATGGATAGATCTATCATTCTTATGGATTAAATGTCTCAATATTGTCAATTCTCCCCCAAATTAATACATACACTCAATGTAATCCCAGTGAAAATGCTATCAAGCATTCTCATACAAATTGGCAAACTGACTCTAAAATTTATATGGAAAAGCAAAAGACCTAAAATGGTGAAAATAATTTTGAAAAAGAACCAAGTTGGAATATTGACGCTATCTCATTTCAAGACTTATTATGAAGCTACAGTACTTAAATATAGGCATATTTACCAGTCTAGAAATTAACCCATAGATAAGGCCAATTGAGTTTTGAAAAAAAGCCAAGGTAATTCAATCATGAAAAAATAATCTTTCCAACAAATGGTGCCAATACTATTGGATATCCATATAAACAAACCTCAACTCTGACACAATGCTGCATTACAAAAATTAACTGTAAGTTGACTATAGACCTACGTGTCTTGCTGGACAAAATTTCTAGAATAAAATAGAAGCATATCTTACTGACCCTGGGTTACACAAAGATTTTTAAACAGGACACAAAAAACACAAATGATTAAAGAAAAAAATGATGAGCTGGACTTCATCAAAATTAAAAACTATACACTTCAAAAGATACCATTAAGAAAATGGAAAAACAAAGTGCCTGGGTGGTTAAGTTGGTTAAGCATCTGCCTTCAGCTCAGGTCATGATCCCAGGGTACTGGGATCGAGTCCCGTGTCAGGCTCCCTGCTCAGAGGGAGCCTACTTCTCCCTCTCCCTCTGCCGTTCCCCCTGCTTGTGCTCTCTCTCTCAAATAAATAAATGAAATCTAAAAAAGAAAAAGAAAAGAAAATGGAAAAACAACCCCAAAACTGGAAGAAAACATTTGTTGTATAAAGGATTCTTACAACTCAAGATTAACAACTCAATTTTTTTAAATGAGCAAAGATTTGAAGAGACATATCCCCAGAGAAGACATTGATGGCAAATAAGTCATTAAAAGATACTCAAAATCATTAGTTACTAGAGAAACACAAATTAACTCACAGTGAGATACCAGTATGCTCCCACCATAATGGCAAAAACTAAAAGACTGACCACACCAACTGTTAATGAATGGAAATCTCATACAATGCTGGTGGGAAGGTAAGAGAACAACTCTGGGAAACAGTTTGGTAATTTCTCAAAATGTGAAACATACACCTACTATACGACCTAGCCATTTCGCTCATAGGTATTTACAGAAGAGGTATGAAAACCTAGGTCCATACAAAGACTTGTACGTAAGTGTCATAGCAGCTTTATTTATAACAGCCAGAAACGGGAAACAACTCAAATGTCCATCAACAGGTGAATGGCTAAGGACATTTTGGTATGTGCAAACCACAACAATAAAGAGAAACTACTGATACACACAGTGTTGTGGATGAATGTCAACATTATCATGTGGAGTGAGAGAAGCCAGGCACAAAAGAGAATCATTACATGATTCCATTTATATAGAATTCTAGAAAACTGACTTAGCTTCTTTGTCAAAAGTGACAAAAAGCAGATGTATGGTTGCCTAAGGAAGGGGTCAGAGGGATGGATTAAAAAAGGACATGAGGAAACTCTTAAGGAGGACAGAAATGTTTGTTATCTTGATTGTGGTGATGATTTCACAGGTATATGTCACAATTAATCAACCATACACTTTAAATATGTGCAGCTTATTGTAATCAATTATACCTCAAAGCTAATTTTTTGAAAGTTTATCCCAATTCTGTGAAGTTGTATCTGTGATGATTCCACGTTATATCTCCTATGATAGCCTTTTTGAGAACAGGATCATTCATCAGTAAATGTTCTTTAACTGACTAAATTAATTAATTCAATATTGAAAGACTTTCCCCTACATAAATAAAGTATGCAACACAGAGTACAGGCCTACTCGGATTCAATAGGTGTGGTGGACAGACTGCAGATGGCCCCCAGGATTCCTGCCTCCTGGTATTCATGCCCTTATGCATGGTATCCATCACTAGCTTCTAAGCCATAAAATACAGCAAAGGTGAGAGAATGTATGTGATTACGTATACATGATCACATACACACCCGTTGTAGCACTTTCACTCCCTTGCTGGCTTTGAGGAAGCAGGCAGCCAGGCTGGCGAAGCCAATATACCAAGGAACTGTGAGTGGCCTCTAAAGGCCAAGGGCAGCCTCCAGCCAGCAAGAAACTGAAGCCCTCAATCCTACAGCCTCAAGAAACTGAATCTGCCAACAAGCATGTGACTTTAGAAACAGACCCGTCCCCAGTTGAGCCTCCAGATGAACACCCAGCCCTGACTGATACATTGATACCAGGCCTCCACGAACCCACCTAAGCCATGAACTAACCCACAGAGACTGTGAGATGACAAGTGTGGGTTGTTTTAAGCCACTAAGTTTGTGACAATATTGTTTACACAGCAGTAGATAATTCACTGGGTCTGTGTGGAGGGAGAGCAGGGGAGGAGCAGAGTAGAAAAAGGGGAAATGCATTCAATATTCTTATAGTATTTTCTACATCCAAGTACAATAATTAAATTATTATCAACCACAAGATAAAAAGTAATCGGAGTTAGAGGAAATCAAATTATTTCTTTTAGCTCTTCTTTGGCTGAAAGAGAAAAAGTGAAGAAACATATAAGTAGCTTACTTTAAGGCATGCCATATGTAAGTTGTAAAACAAATGAATAAATGCAAGTGAAAAGAACTGGTCGAAAACCTTTAATTTACTTTCACTGTATATTTTGTTCTGCTTTTCAATAATGAGCACATTAGCATTTAAGAATTGTAGCACAATCATTGAAATGCAAGCAAAACCTTTTAATCATCTTCACTCACCACCCCTCTGGGAGGAATAAGAACTCACCAGAGGACAACCTACTCCATCTACTTCTCTTCAAAGACTCCAAAGAGAAGGACATTCAATTACACCACCTTCAGCACCTTCAGGCACTCTGAAACACCATAGTTAGCTGTCTCTGTTGGAAATGCAGGAATATATGTACTCTCCTATGATTTTTAAAATCTAGCTACCAGTGTCATTGTACACTCTTTTCCAGTCCCCAGCAATCATTCCAACAGGGTGTCCGTGAGGTGCAGAAGCAGTTAGGGTTTGTGTAGTTCTCTGGCTTTCTGTGACTGTAATCCCCAAGCCTGGCAAGGATCGTGATAGGTAGCCCTGGCAAATCATCACCGTCAGAAGTTCTGTTTTCTGCTTTGGTAGATTTTCAGAAGAAATAATTGGGATACCATGGGCAATTAATGTGGCCTCTACTTTCTCTCATGTTTTTTGCAGTGTGTGGATTTTGGTTTTTGCTGTAATGTGCCCTTATAAATTAAGTCAGAAAGGAAGTCACTGGAAATCAGGATGAGAGAAATGATATAATATTTAGTGTTCATGTTGCTGACCAAGACACTTGGTTTAAAATAAATGATTTTATGAGTAAAAATTTGTTATATAAAACCAGATAAAATAATTTAAATTTTTATAGTAAAATGAGGAAAATGATCTTGCAAACATTTTTAATTTGTCTAAACATACAAATATTTAGAATATGAAAGCCTTATATGGTATACATATAATACACAAAAATAATTCCATATACTGTATAGGCTTATGTCTGACCTGAAATTAATATGCTAGCCAAAATCAACATTTCAATATTTAACAAAAATTATTTGTCTTCAGAGAATTTAGATAAATGTTATGTGTATATGGAAGTCAGGCAAGGGAATGATGGGTGATAGCCAAGCAGTATATGTGGGCAATCTCTTTTTTTTTATTTCAAAAGTAATTGAAATTAATCTTTCTTTTTCTTTCAGTAAATTACCTTTTAACAAATTTAGCTATATACAAAGTGGGGCCATTCCTGGTAAACATAAGTAAAGTAAGCAAATAACCAAATGTTAATAGCATCAAGAAATTTGAAGACAATACTAAGAAATTTATTTTTTATTTTTTTTTAAGCAGGCTCCAATGCAGGGCTTGAACTCATGACCCTGAGATCAAGATCTGAATGGAGATCAAGAGTCAGGCGCTTAACCAACTGAGCCACCCAGGGACCCAGAAATTTCTTTAGAATACTTTAAGAAAAAGAAATCTTTTAAGGATTATCCATCATTATTTGAACATTTTCTCTATATTAATAAGCATGTGTGTGCCAGAAAGATAAAGAGCAGGGATGAGAGAGAGAGATGTTAATTGATTGCATACATGAAATGAAAATAAGTTTCTTTTTTTTTTTAAGATTTTATTTATTTGTTTGACAGAGAGAGAGAACAAGCAAGGGGAACAGCAGAGGGAGAGGAGGAAGCAGGCTCCCCACTGAGCAGGGAGCCAGATGCAGGGCTTGATCCTGGGACCCTGGGATCATGACCTGAGCCGAAGGCAGATGCTTAATGGACTGAGCCACCCAGGCCCCCTGAAAATAAGTTTCGAAGAAGCACCTATGAGGCAAGCATGTAAGGGTCTGACAGAAAACAGAGCAGTGATGGAAAAGTTAAAGGACTGACCATGTGGATGAGATTCAGAACTCCCAAATTTTTTATTTTTTTGGCTTTCTTCCCTCCTCTGCAGCCTGCTTCTATCACTGCCCAGCAAGCACTTGCAGCATGGTGTCCTCCGGAAGAAACAATAAGGTTAAGGCCTTCAGGAAGAAGGACATGACTCATAAACTTCATGACAGTCCTCCAAGAAAGTAATGAAATATTCATCTCCCTGCAGTGCCTGGCCTCTTTAATGGGAATGAAGAGCTGTGGGAAAAGGCTGTGACAAAGGATGCAAAATGGCAGAGACCATCCAGATGGCCCTCCTAGTGCCTCTTTGCCAAACCTCCATTTGCTCACCTTTTCCAGAAGCCGGATATTATCCCACACCTTGCTGCACACCATACACTCAAATGCATCGATGTAGTTGTCCTGGTGGACATCTTGCACTCCCCATTTCCGTTCCCTGAGCGCTGCGAGAAGTCGCTGATTGGACACCTCACCCTTCAGCTTCCATTCTATGTAAGCCTCGTATAGTCTGTCATCATGATCCAGTTGTCTGATGTAACTTGCTAGTTCTCTAGGGTGAGCAAATTCTGATACGAGAATAGCACTTCTATTACTCGGGAGCCAGTCTGCAATGCTGGGGGACCCATAATACACAGGGACCACCCCCAGCTTCAGAGGTCTCCAGAACTTCTCAGTGATGTAGTCGTCACACACTGCGTTCTCGAAGGCAAGGATAAACTTATACTGTGCGATGATCCTATAAAAGCCTTCGGCATCCATAGAGGCTGGATTTTTCAGCTGCTGAGGGAGATCTTTGTTTCGTAAACACTCACCATAGGAATCGACCTCGATGTAAGTCATCAGCTCTCGAACATAGCTGTCCCTGTCTGACGGCGGGTCACAGTCTGACTGGACGTACACCAGTGGAGCAAGTCTTATTCGAAGGTTGTTTTTGGACCTCAAAGGGACCAGGTATCGGAGTGACTTCAGGACTTCTACGCCCTCCAAGTACTGGGTGGTCAGGGGCAAGTGGGAATGGCGGCTGAACGTGGCAGTGTAGTTGAACAAGGTGATGACTGGCTTGTGGAAGAGCTTATAATTGTTTTTCGGAGACTCTTCGTGAAAAAGGGCCCAGTCGTGATGGGCTTTCCGAGGCAAAGGTAAGCTATCTATATTAAAGTCAGTGCCTAGAAGAAGAAAAGAAAATATTAGTATGTGCAAGAGAATTTTAGTGTCCAACTTGGAGTCTACCTGGTAAGATTAGAATACAGAGAAGTCTGAAGCTACAAAGAAGCATGTCACAGTGTTGGCAAAATGCCTGGCAGTCAATCATGACTCTTTCACCCTAGAAACTGCTCAGGGAGAGGAGCACAAAGGAGAGGGACCCTCTTTCTGATTTTATGTTAAGAGAAATGGGAGTAGTGTCTAGCCTGGTTCTAAAGGGAGAATTTATTCCACTGCCTCTGGCAACTGGCTTTTCTTCCCAGAGGTGTTGTCTAAGAGAGGGCAGGAGAAATAAAGAGATATGGGGGCCTGGGTAGCTCAGTCGTTAAGCGTCTGCCTTCGGCTCAGCTCACGATCCCGGGGTCCTGGGATCAAGCCCCACATGGGGATCCCTGCTTGGCGGGAAGCCTGCTTCTCCCTCTCCCACTCCCCCTGCTTGTGTTCCTGCTCTCACTATCTTTCTCTGTTAAATAAATAAATAAAATCTTTAAAAAAACAAAAGAAAGAAAGCAATAGGCAATTCTTATAAAAAAAAAAAAGAGCAAGAGAAAGAAAGCCAAAAAGGGGAAAGCAACCAGCTTGGCAGCTTGGTGCACTGAAAAAAAAGTGAAATCATGCAAAAGTCACCAGAATAAATATGCAGGATAGATTTTTTTTTCATCCAGTATGATCGATTTCAACAAAGTGCAGTGAATCAATCACAGTCAAAATGGTAGACAAGAGGCTTTTAAAGACAAAACGGCTGATAATAGCACTATGCTACAGACCACTGCAGGATGGACATGAATTAACCAGCACATCAAGAAATAAAGAAGGCATAACAGGATTATAATTATGAATGATTCTAGCTTCCACAGGATTAATTGAGAAACCTTTGAAACATGATCATGTGCAGACAGAAGTGATGGATGTGGTGAACAGATGTTTCCTGACAGCGTGGATGGAGACTCAATCAGGAAGACGTCATTTCTATAACTGAGAAACGATTAAGACAATACTGCAATATGTAACACCAAATTCCTAAAGTGTTTCTGACACTGAAGATTTTGTGGCCCCTAATTTGAGTTTTTAAATGTAAGGAAATGGCCAAAAAAAAAAAAAAAATTCCATCTGCCACCCTTCACTGGGGGAAAAAAAAGGCCCAAATAAATGCTTCCAATGGAATAAAACATATTCTCTGGTAGAATTCATAACAATTAATTATTTCATGCTGATGCACACTCTCTCAAATAAATATATACTCTTTGGTGCCAACAGTACATCAATGAGAAATCAATTAATCAAGAAAGGCTTTTAAACAATTAAAGACTGAATAAAATTATGTTGGAGGACATATACTGAGCACAGAGAAGTTGCTGAACAAAGTACTACTGTCTTGATACCAGGCTTTTATTCTCAATGATCAGGAATGAAAGACTAACATATAAAAGTGGTTATGTATTCGTTTACTTAGCATTTGCTATATTTGCCCTTTAGCATCAAAAAGAATGCTCATCTACACACCTGACATGTAATGGCATATAGAGTTAAGTGGTCAGAAAGGTTAAAGGACAAATGTGAAGACTTGAAAGAGAAGTGAATTTGAGGAGAAAAGCAATTTATCGCATGAAGTGGTTGCTGGTCAACTGGCCAAGAATGGGAACGGGAACCCACCCACTTGAGTTAGAACGGAAAGTTTCCACTGAAGGCTGAACAAAAATCCAGGCCATTTGCCTGGGATAGGAAGAACTAGAGTCCAATCCACAGGAGTCAGACGCAGGGATCAAGATGTAAGATTAAGATTGGAGGGGTATGGGGACACCTGGATGGCTCAGTCAGTCAAGCTTGTGCCTTCAGCTCAGGTCATGATCCCAGGGTCCTGGGATTGAATCCCACAATGGGCTCCTTGCTCAGCGGGGAGCCTTTTTTCTCCCTTTACCTGCCACTCCCCCTGCTTGTGCTCTCTCACTCTCTCGCGCGCTCTCTCTGACAAATAAATAAATAAAATCTTTAAAAAAAAATTGGAAGGGTATGATTAAAACAAAAGTGGGTCTAAATTGGGGGGGCAGGCACAGGTGTCTTGAGGGAGTGACTCAGACCCCAGTGGCTGTCTGCTGCTGCTATATGGCACATGGGTGATTCTTTGCCTCACCCTGGCTGTGCCACAGCAAAGACCCAAAATGCAGAGCAGGGAAGCAGAAAGACACAACGCCTGCCTCCTGTGCTTTGGAGAATGGAGAGGGCCTGGGTTTCATCTCTGCCCATCCACATCAGTAAAGCATAACAGGCACTAAAAATGGCTATGTGTAGGCCTTTCTGTGGCCAGTTTCTAGGTCCGCTCAGATTGTATTGATAATATGAATAGGACTTGAAACTGGTACCAATTATGAGCCATGAGCCCTTCATTCATTATAACTAGGAGATGAGAGCTTACCAGCTCATTATACCTTCAGCCAAGTTGCTACTGGAACCTCAATGTTGGAAGGAAGGGAAGAAGAGCGCGGGGTCCCTTGCATATGCAATCTATGGTAGTAAAAGGAGCCTGCAGAATCTAAGCAAGAAACATTTATTTATATTCATGTTTTAAAAAAGAACACAGCTAACTGAACATGATAAAAAAAATATAAAAAAATAATATATATAAATAAAATCCTTATTTAAAAAAGGGGGGAAGAACACAGCTTTTTTTTTAAATGAGTGTGTGAGGTTCTAGTACATCCATTTGAATTCTGTTTAGTTTGTAGGAGTGGGGTCATCTTTAAAAGTGGGGGAGGGCGCCTGGGTGGCTCAGTTGGTTAAGCGACTGCTTTCGGCTCAGGTCATGATCCTGGAGTCCCTGGATCGAGTCCCACATC